CTTTCCCTGTGACAAATACTCCGTTGCTCTAAGCTGTGTTTTGTTTCTGTTGAAGAAGACTGCTGCTGCTGCTTCAGAGCTTCACGGGCTACACAGAAAACCTGCTCAGCGAGCGAGCCATCCCCCCGGTGCAGGCAGTGGGACCCTGCATGTCCGCGGGGCTGACGGCGAGGAGGTACTGGTGCAGCATGCTGAAACTGGGGGCCTTCTACCAGCAGCTTCTGGCCGAGGTGGGACATTTAGGGGCCCTGACACCCCACTTGCTGAGTGCAGGGGTCACAGAAATGGCCCTTCCCTTACCCCCCATGATTTGGGGGATGCCCCGTGACATGCGCAGTGGCCACAGCTGATGTGCTCCTGGCTCATGACCCTCCGCAAGTGGTGACCCGTGTGTCGGACAGGACACATCTGTCCCGCACTGTCCCCTCCCGGCCTGAGTCCCTTCCCTCCTCCAGCCACTGCTCCCAGCCATCCCGCTGGGTCCAGCCTCCTCCAGGCACCCACCAGGCTCTCAGGATGGAGGAGCTTGGCTGCCCTTATTGCTTGGAAAAATATTCTCCTCCTGCATGCTGCCCCTTCAGCTCTGCCGACTCCACTGCTTGAGGGGCTAAGCTGGCTCAAATCAGTGAAATAATTTGTGGTAAAAACACTATACCGCTCCCCTGCATTTTTTTTTCCCCCAAAATGATCCCTTTCGTGGCAAAGTCTTACAATAATTCATCTGGCATAACCAGGAGACAGCCCAGGAGGTGGGAAAGAAGGGACGGTCACAAGAAGGGGAGCAGGTTTCACTGCTGAGGCTTCCCGTCATGAAACCATAGCTCTGGTAGTGGTGGCTGGAAAGCTGCCTGGCGGATTGTAAAAATGCAGTTCCCCTGTACCCCACATCAGGGAGTGGGAAGCAAATTCATTTTGCTTGTTAGCCATGTGCTTTGGTTGTAACGGAGCACAGTAAACAGGGAACCCAAGCGCTCCTGTCCTCCTCCAGCCTCTGGGAACTCCCAAGAGAAGGGCTCGCTGCCCTCGTAGCCCCTTGGCTGCACTAATGTCCTGTCCCCACGCTTCACACCTCTGTGTTCGGGCTCTTATGGATCATTTGCAGCTGACTTTGAGCTGGGCCCTGGTTTTGTTCTGTGGTCTCTCCACCAGAAGGTGGCTTGCAGGAAGGAGATCCCCACGCTGCAATCCACTTCCCAGGCTGGGATACCTAAGAAGGAGCGCCTGAAACACTGCTCGCCTGATGTTTTGGAGTTAAGAACTTCCACAGAGGTTGCCCGGTCTGCTTCTCTGCGCCTGTCGCTGAGTGTCCGTGCACCAGATAGCGACGCCTCGGGCAGCTCCCCGCCCAGGGCTGCCTGCAGCGTGGCTGAGAGCAGCCGCAGCATCCCCACACAGACAACTGCGAGATCCCCACGCAGATCTCCAGGACCCTGCGACACCTGCGCCAGCGCCCAGGCCAGCCTCCGCGAGGTGGGCAAAGCCATCACCAGCATCTGCCAGAGCCAGAACATCCCCTCAGCTCTGAGCAGGTTCCAGGAGATGGTGGAGGAGAGCACAGGGAGAAGGACCCTCTCTGCAACGGACATGAGCTACTGGGCCTCAGAGCAGAGCAAGGACCTCTCCCGGATCAGCAAACACCTCCAGATGCTGCTGCAGCAGGTCAACCCTCTGAAGTCTGAGCTGGAAGAGTTGGCGAAACAGAAGGACAAGCTGCGGAAACAGGTTGAGGACTTTTCCCAGTTGCTTCAGGTGGAGAAGGAGACCCAAGCACAGCAGAGGAAGGAGGCCGAGCAGAACCTGGAAGTAAAGAATAAAGAGTATTTAGAGGCTGTAGCCAGGCTGGAGCGGGACAAGGACGACCTACGGAGAGGTACAGTGCTGTTCCCAGCATCCCCTCCCAGGCCTGCAGGTATTTGCAGGAGAAGCACGGAGTCCGTGGTCAAATCTTGGTCCCACCACCACGAGCAGGGCTTTTGCCACCGATTTTGGTAGGTGCCGGGGCTGTTCCCTGCTGTGAGACTAACCCCAGAGAGCAGGAGCTGGTTGTCCACATCCTCTCACTGCTTCCTCCCTGCTGACGCACAGCACGATACTATCACTAGATGAAGAATGCTTTGGCGTGGCCGTTTGCTGCCTCCTTGTTTTAGTTTCTTTGAGGAGCTGTTTAATTAGAGTTTTTTTGTACTGATTTAGGAGCTGCTCTGCTGGAAGAGCGACTCTCCGCCTTAAAGGAGGAGCTGGCTGCGAAGCAGGCTGCTGTGCAGGAGCTGGGTAAGGACCCCTGGGGCTCCCCCAGCCTCGCTCCGATCTCACGAGTGTTTTACACCCGGATAACTCCCGGCTCCTGCAGAATTGGCTGGGTACAGCGCCGGTGGGAATGGGCGGGGAGGATGAGCCTCCTTCATTGCAGTGCCCAGACATCACGCAGCACCAGAGTGGGCTCGTGTCAGTGCTGGTGGAGATTCAGGGGGTCGCAGCCCTCCTGTCAGGCCTGCCTCCCCCACGCCAGGGCTTGTGGAGGGTGTGGGGCCCCTTCAAGCCACCTCACCTGGGAGCTTCTCCCCCTCCTGCTGAGCCTGGGCCAAAGGCGCTGTGTCCCCCCCAGAGGTGACCAAGATGACCTTGCTGGAGGAGATGAGGACCACGATGGTGGCCAGCAGCCGGGTGCTGGAGCTGGAAGAGAAGGTGCAGCTGCTCACCGGCCAGCAGGAGAGCCTGGGCCAGGAGCTGAGCGCCACCACCACCCAGCTAGAGAAGGAGAAGGCCAAAGTGGAGAACATGCTGAGGCACCAGGAGGTATGGCTGGGCCTGCTGCTGCCCACTCTGAAGCTGTTCCACAGCCCCACGGCATGCTGTGGGAGTGGGCTGAGCTCAGGCCGGCTCTTTCACACCCCGGCCTTAAGCCAGGGTGTCAGAGGGGCTGGCACAGAGATCCCACTTGTGGTGCTGGGCCCCGAGGAGCTCACCCTCTGTCCGCACTAGCTCTGCACGGCTTTGGCCGAGCCCTCCTTGCCCCACACCTCTTCTCTGCCCTCTCAGCCACTGCCACGGCCCCTTGTCATCGTGGGTGCTGCTGCCCGGTGTAAGGGCAGCGGTGAGCGGGTGCAGCAGCAGCCCCGCGCGGGCTCACCTGCCCTGTGCAGTCCTTGCAGGCCAAGCAGAGAGCCCTGCTGCAGCAGCTCGACAGCCTGGACCAGGAGCGCAATGAGCTGCAAGCCAGCCTGGGAGAGGCCGAGGAGGGCAAAGCCAGGCTGGCAGAGCAGCTGGAGGAGAGCCGGGAGCGGAGCGGGCACCAGCTACGGGCGCAGCAGGTCAGTGCTGGCAGCCAGCAGCCGTCTGGGGGGCTGCCAGCAGCAGGGCTCCCTGGGGAGCAGCTGGTGTGGGACACAGCTCTGCCATGGGGGTGTCAGGAGCCATCCACTGCCCCGTCCCCCACCCGTAGCCAGAGTTTTTCCCAGGAGGGGGACTTTGGGACTTGGTGTGACACTGCCACGTGGCCATCTCCTCCCGGGACCCCTCGGGGAAGACGCCTCTCCTGCCTGGACAGGTCTCTGCTGCTTTACCCTGCAGCCAAGGCAGAGGGGAGCAGCAGGAAGCAGCAGCTTGGGCTTCTCCCGTGTCTCCCAGCATTCCTGTTCCTGGACACACGCCATATTGTGCATGTCCAGGAACATTGTTGGTGCTGTTGCTTCCAACTCACACACGGACCTTACAACCGAGACCCTCCGATCCATCACGCTGCTGTGGGACATCCTTATCGTGCAAGGGAAGTGCAGGAGCTTTTCTTGGGGGGCTCCAAGTACCCCCATGGGACTCCCCCAGGCTGTACCGTCCTGAGGTTTGGGAGAGCGCTCTGCAAACCTCACCACCTCTCTGCTCTGCCATGCAGGAGCTGCTGGATGCACTGCAGCAGGAGAAGCTGAGCCTGGAACAGTCTGTCTCGGAGCTGCAGGCGAACGTCTCCAAGCTAGAGGAGCGGGTGCGGGAGCTGAAGGAGCGGGAGAGGCTCCTGGTGTTCTTCCCCGAGCTCCACGTCCCCACTGAGACTCAGTTTGAGAGTAAGGGAGAGGGCTGCGGGCAGGAGCGCCTGCTTCCGCCGCAGTGGGCTTGCGCCTTCGGGGTCTCCTGGAGCTCGCAGGGGATCCTGCCGGCCCCGGACACACCAGCATTATTTGTACAACACAGTTTTTCCCAGTAATAGCCAGGAAGGGCTCAGTCCATGGGCTGTGCTAAGCCGCTACCATCTTTCCACACTTCCCTACTCGGGTGCTGTTCATCCCCCTTCCAGGCCAGGAATTGAAGCAAGGCCAGGGCATGGGCAGAGCTTTGTTTGCCCTCGCAGTTTCAGCTGGCACGGTTTGGGGTCCCAGCTGCCACCTCCTAGGCTGGGCTGGTGCTCCCCGGTTGGGGCAGGCTCCTTTCCAGCAGGCAGCCACCCTGCTCGGGAGGGAGAGGGGCTGCTGCCAACACCTCTGAGCAGGCAGGCGGCGGCGGGCTGAGCTCTGGCTGCTGCTGCAAGGACGTCATATTTTGTTTGCAGGCACCGGGAGCTTGACGGAGGACATGGAGAAGCAGCTGCAGGCCAACAGCATCCGGATCAGTGTGCTGGAGCAGGAGAACGCGCGGCTCAGGTCTGCGCTAGCCAAGGTGAAGGCGGCTGCTGAGCAGGGCGTGCTGAAGGTGAGGCTGCACCCAAGCCAGGGAGAGCTGGGTGCCACCGGGGAGAGGGGTGCATGTGCCAGTGGGGCGCTGCCTATCCCAAGACCACCCCATGGTCGCTGACAATGTCCCACATCCTCTGGGGACCGGTTCCCTGGCTGCGTACCCTTGCAGAAGAGGCTCCAGGGAGCAAAAGGCCACAGGGCTCCTCGCACAACATCCCCCTGTGACTCAGCAGCTGCTTCCCCAGCCTGCACAGGGCCGAACTGGACAAAGCTGCTTCCAGAAGGGCATGAAGCTGGGCGGGGACTGTGATCCTCTGCTGCCCCAGGGCCTGATCCTGCCTTCAGGAGCCCATCTTGGCCTCCAGACAGCTGAACCAGGTGCTTCTACCTGATGCTTTCCAAGCCAGAGTGGCCAAGCCGATGCTGTGGCACTGCAGCACGCACGGTGCCCGCAGCTCGCAGCCGCCGGTGGCTGACCCAGACCCACTCCCGCATGTCCCCTGCGCCGGGCTGCAGCCAGGGGCAGCACGCCAGGGTCCCTCGCTCCCTGGGAGCGAATGGCACGGGCAGGGCAGCGCTGGGGCTTGGGCTAATGCCTCGTCAGTCGCTGCTGGAGCAGCCTTTCCTGCCCGGTGCGGGCCGCACGCAGCCGCAGACCCAGACGGGTGCGGGGGCTGCTGCAACGCCCTTCCCCTGGGTCAGTCACTGCGGCTCAGCCCCGTTAGGTTTACACCAGCTCCGTGGTTTTGAAGTGTGCCCACCCCAGGAGGGCCAGGGCCTGGGCTCCTGGGCCACCGGGAGGTCAGTCTGGTTTAACTGGTGTTGGCAGGGAAAGCTGCTCGGCTGAGGTGGCCGGGGCTGGTTCCTGGCTCTGTTATGTCGGCCCTGCCGTGGCTGTCATACCACCGTGCCACCGCCGCCAGCTCAGCGGTGATGGCCCCGCAGGGCAGAGGCCGAGGGGTGCGACGGGAGCTGAGCGCGGGGGGAAGCCTCACCCCCTCTTCTCTTCCCCAGCTTGTCCCGCAGACCCAGCTGCGTTCTCAGCTCAGCAGCCAGCACCGCGGGGAGACCGGCAGGCAGGACGCAGGGTGAGTAGGAACCCAGAGGAAGGGGCAGGGGAGCGTCCCTCTTCTTACTCTCCTCTAACCGCTCCCACCGCCCACAGGCGGCTGAGCAGCCGAGGCAGCAGGGACAGCACAGGGACGCACGGACGCACAGGCGAGACCCGGCAACCAGCTCTCGGCAGCCAGCGGCCAAAGCCGCTCTTGGCAGAGCCTGCGGGCCAGGCCAGCCCCTGCCTCTCGCTCCCGGCTGAGGGCCTGGTGCTCGGCCCGCCCGAGCCAAGAGGGAGAGGCCGAACACCCCCCCTCTCCTCTCACCGCGCCGGTGGCCACCGCAAATAAACACTCAAAACTAACGCAGAAATGAAGTGTTCAACGAGCAGCCGCCAGCCCTGCCCCGCGGGACCTCGTTACCTGTTCTTTGTGCATCACAAAGGCGCCTTCCCTTGGGAAACCCGCGTTCCCTTGGGAAATCTGCTCTCTGCCTGTCCCATCGAGCCTGCACGCGGCGGGCGTAGGAAACCCGGGGAGACAGTCTCACAGCAGCTCTGCCACGGCTCAGCCACCAGCCGCTCTCCGGCTGTTGCTTTGGTTTTTTTCTTCTCTGTGCAGTTTCCCCCCTTGTTCCTCTCCTTTGGGCGACGCTGCGGTTTGTGGTAAAACCGAGGGTGACAGCGCAGAGGGCTGGGCTGGCACGTCCCCTTCTCTTCTCCCTCAGCACAGCGGCCCCCGGAGAAGCCCCACTGCAAGGGACCGGGCTGGGGCTGGCTTTCCCTGGCTGGCAGCCAGGGGACTGACCCAGACGCAGGCGAGGAGCCCTTGGAGAGGGGAAACGCTCCCTGGGCGCGCGGAGCGGCCCCCGCACAGCTGAGCGGGGCCAGGGACATTCCTGGGCGCTGGAGCTTGGTCGCCCACGGCTAAGCTGCTTCTGGAGGCCCTGGTACAGCGCTCGTCACCCGGACAATGCCTGGGCACAGTGCAAGTTAGCTCATGCCAGGAACTGTTCTCAAGAGGCGACTGGGTTGTGGCCACGCTGCTTTGAAGAGGAAGACAGAAGTGGGCTGGGGATGAGCGAGTCTGAGCAGCCCTTGGCTCGCCAGCATGGCCGCAGCCTGGGAAAGCGGCTCTCCCGGTGCTGCCGGCAGCCACGAGCCCCCAGAGGGGCCAAGGACCACTGAGCCGCCTGTGCAGGATGGCCCCAAACCCTCAAGCAACCTCGCGAGCCTCGGAGGGCAGTGGGAGCCACACCACCCCAACACGAGACACAGCAGGCTCTCCTTGCTCTGTATTTAATAGAGATGGACGCGTGCGATGCTGCAGCCCAGCAGCCTCTGGCTGCTGTGTGGAGCCAGTCAGGGCTCACAGCGAGTCCCTGGCCACTGCAGCAAACCCGTGTGCGGTCAAAGAAGCCCTGTGTTCAGTCTCTGCAGCTGGCTCGTGCCATCCTTTCTAATAAGTTACTATAAATAAAGTGTTCAACCCCCCTGCCCTCCCACAGCAAGCGGCGGGTC